GCTGAACCAGTTACCAACATGGTTTGGCTAGTCAAAGTGCATGGTGTTAAAAGTGTGCTTAAGAACACATTCTAGAGCCACTGTTCTAGCATAGTCTGGCCCCATGCACAGTGGCTGACCAGAGCAGAAAGCCAGTTTAACAAGAACTATGTTTAAGTAGTGTTTCTTAATATTGTATTAAGCCTAATTGGAGTGGTTTTTTGTTCAATAGGGTAAAGCACCGTCACTGGACTTGCCCCATTTTAAATGTTTCTTTTTTGAAACAAAACAATTGAAGTATCCTATTTTGAAAAAGTACAGCATGTAATGCAGTACACTAGGGTGATCCAACAGACAGCCTTGGGCAAAAGTACAGCATGCTTAAGGCATAAAAATTTTTGTTTTTAAAAAAGGACTCAGACTATGATACTGAGAAGACTATTTTAAATTCTACATAGTATGCCTAGCACAAGGATAACTGCAGTTGTAAATATGGCCATTAAATGGTTCTTCAAAAGTTTTTACATATAGTTATGTATCCTCTTTCATCTCTCTCCCCCTCTTTACTACCGTCCCTCCTCTTCCTACTGTCACTCTGGGATCTTCACTTCCCACATGCACTATATGATTATTGCTCTCCCCCCATGCTCTGCTATTAGCCGTCACACTAGGGAAGCAGAGTTTTACTAAAATCCTGTTCTTTGGAAGTGCTGTGTGCAGACACTTCAAGGATCACAATTTTTGTACATTTAATTTTGTTCCCAGTCTGCTGTACATAATGAAGCAGAACAATACAATACAGCATGTTCAAGACCATACCCTGTCAGATAAAAATTAAGACAACTCCCAGGGAAACAAACTACTTCTGTACTCCGAACTACTTACATACAAAAGGTGTTGGGTTAAGCATATAGTCTTCATTCAGAATTTCATACCTTTGTGGGTTTGACTTGAACTTAATTTGGTTATCTCCTCCTTCTCTACTACATATGCTTCATGTTTCCATCTTAGTTTTTAGAATCTCTCCATTTCCCTCACAATTAAGAGCCCATATTGCAGCAACCATCAATCCAAGACAAGAACTGTATACCATTCCTACAGAGGGGGTATTTCCCTTTCCCAAATAGCATGGGGAGTGGTGTAGGGGAAGGGCTGGGAATTTAGTGCCATGTCTCTCACAATGCACTTCAGACTACAACCATTACGCTAACTTTAATGTAATCCTGACACCTGGTGTGTTTAATATGTACAGTTATTTTACATTTCACTATATAACAAAAGAATGACTTGATACTCTGACTCATGCGATTTCCCCAGAACTACCCATTGCAGTTCTCAGACAACAGAAACTTTCACCAACACCTGCCCCCCTGGAAGATATCTAAGTAAATCCTGAAATAAAAGGAGCTGTATACAGATAAATACAGATTAGGATGGGCTGGTTGGAAGAAAGCCATAACTGTTGGGAAGCCTTCATATTCCCCACCCTCATTTTTCCTGGCAATTTTCATTTAGAAAAACAAGCAGTGGCTAACGCCAGCCAGTCTGCACGTAATTTTAAGAAAGCAGGATCTTAAAAAACAGAGGGTGTGTCAGGAGGCAATTTAAAAATAAGTAAATAAGTTTGCTGCTAAGGGTATCAATGACTTTAGCCTCCACTACATGAAATGCAAATTGTAAAGTTCATCCACACTTTCATTTTGATCGAAGGAAGAATTGTGTTTTGAACAACCAAACAACCTCAGGATGTTATAGAGCCAAGTGGAACATAAGGGCTCACAGGATTAAGGACAAGTGTTGCAATAATTATTTTTAGTTTTAGCTACACTTCTCAGTTAGATATTTACTTCAGCTAATGTACCATTTGTTTTGTATTTGTTGATAAATGGTGTGTGGAGATACAAGAGAATATATATCACATATGGAGTTTTTAAACCCATTGCTACCATGAATACGTCACAGAATTTTGACCATCAAAATTCACAGACAAGTCAATTCCATGAAACTTTTTTTTTTAAATCTACACAAAAACTCAGGTGAAACATTAAGACAGTGGAGTAATGTCTGAAGGAATACATTCAGGCACACTAAGGAGAAAGTATCAGAAGGGTAGGCGTGTTAGTCTGGATCTGTAAATGCATCTGACGAAGTGGGTGGTTCACCCATGAAAGCTTATGCTCCAATACATCTGTTAGTCTATAAGGTGCCACAGGACTCTTTGAAACTTCAAGAGCCTTTCACCAAAATGCCATGTAGTTACCTACAAAAATGACATTTAAAAAAAAAAAAAAAAAAAAAAAAAAAGCTAGGAATCAAATTTATTCAGTGGAATCATGCATTTTAGATCAGCTATTGCACTTGCCAAGATGTAAAGATCCTTTATGTGCCCAGATATATGTCTTGATTGCCATCTACATGCCCTACATCACATCTTGAAAGATTAAGAAATTGTCGTCTATTTTGGACAGAGAGGTGGGGAGCAGGGAGGCAGAGATACTACTTGTAAAGTCTGCAGAATTGTTCAGATTCATCTTCCATATGTAAGAAATGCCAATATTTTACTCCTCCACTTAAAAAGCATGGTCAAAACAATACAATCATAACCTATACTATCTGTACTTGGTAATCTAGGACCTCATACAAATCCCATTGAAGTCAACTGAAAGATTCCCATCAAAATTTCAGTGGGTTTTGGATTAGGCCTCCAACACAGGGACATTCTTACACAAGTAAGCCTTCCCTCCCATTTAGGGAATAGAAAAATCCTACCATCATTTGCTGCAGCAGAGATACTATACAATGAAGGGGTGTCTCAGGTTTTCTAAACAACATTTTTATTTATTATATATTATTTTTTAAAAACAAGCTCTAGAAAGCTGAGCATGGATTCTCTCCCTCAAAGTCTAGTTTGTATAGGTTTTCCCACACCACAAAGGGGGAGCAGAAAGACATTTATCAAAAGATTGGAAAGTGTATTTATAAAGCCACAAAAATCGTCAAGGGGACTCAGGGGCAAGTGTCGCATGAGAAATTAAATGTTTTAAAAAGAAGATTCACTAGACTTCTAGCAGACACTGTCCTTTTTAAAGTGACGTGCTTAGGTTTACACAGGAAGTTTGTTACAGAGCAAGGATCAGAACCCTTGCAGTCCAGTTTACAGCCTTGTGTTTTAAACCACTAGACTATGCTTTCCCCTTTAAGAGAACTGAACACAACTATGCTAGTTGACATGCAGTGATAATGCCACAAAGATGTTACTACCTTCTGAAAAGGTTTACCCTTATTTAGCACCTGGTCCCGCCACCTCCTCTCATTCTTTGAGAAACAGAAAAGAAATTCCCATACATAGGAGCCATCTATCTACAGTAGTACCCCTCCCTAAAGGATATTGTATGAAAATCATCAACACAACTTTCATCAGACATACAAGTACGTCTGAAATATCACCATGAACAAGCTCTGAAGATGCCACTTTTACCAGTGAGTTTATGGAAGAAGCAGAACATGTCAAACAGTCAATTCAAGTTACTAGAAGAAACCTAGTATATTGGATATATTGCTGAAAGTGACATTTGGACAAATTCATTGTTATAAGCAGCAGATAGTTTCTCATTTAAGCAGCAGAAGCAGAGGAAAGCTGAATAATTCATAGACGAGTTACAATTATGGAGTAAGGGCGTATCAGTTTTTCCTGTACTATTTTTTTAAGCTAGAGTGGGGGACAATACACATTTAATACATGAGAATTTGCATACTTGACAGGAACTTCAAGTTTCTGTTCCAACATGTGAAACAAGTTAATAATTTACACTTCTATAGCACCTATCAGGCAAGGAAGTAACTTTATACACTTTTTAGACTTGCAACAATATTGGGAATATTTAACCCATTTTGCAGATAGGGAAACTAACACAAAAAGTTAGTTTAATCTTGGGAAAGTCAGTTGTCAGTGGCAGTGCCAGGAACAGGACCCAGGAGTCCTGCCTTCCTCTTCCATACTCCAAACACTAGACCACATTGCATCCTAAAAATGAAAAAATATTCAGGTCTGTCCTTTGCAACAAAAACTAAAAGAAGAGTCAGGATAACATGATCATCTGTAGTCTTAGCACATAATGAACCCGAGGACAGACAGCATACAGAATAGAATGGATGTCTATAAACCAGTTTTTTGGTGGTGATTATGAATAAAAATGTTTCCATGTACTAAGAATTATATTAGGAATCTTTATTTCATGTGATGTGTGTGTTTGAAAAGCCTTAGACTGGCACAACAAGGATAAGACTTTCCAAAACGGCCAACAATTTTGGATACTTCCATTTTTAGGTGTCTAATTTAAGAAATCTTAAATTGAAAGGCGACTGATTTTCAAAAAGTGCTACGCACTTACCTTTTGCAAAACCAGTGCCCTTTAAAGGGATCAGATGGGTCACTTAAAAACAATGGAGGCACCCTAAATCATTAGTAACTTTTAAACCAACTTTTTCTCTCAATAGCTCTGAAGACTCAACAGTAAGATGCACCAAAACCACTTCCCTTTTTAATAGTCACAGAGACAAGCTATCCCTCCTTACCTACATCACCCACACGATTATGGACACAAGAAGCCCTTACCACATGGAAGTAACCTCTAGTGTCAGCTGCTCAGAGAGAGTGCACCCCCTTTATGGTTTGCATCCACTCCTTCACTCAAGGTCATATTTCCCCATTTCAGTAATTAATCTTTTACAGCTTCTGCCACAGTGGCAATACTCATGGGTAGAACAAGCAACAGCTATTTTTTTTTTTTTTTGAGGCTACAGCACCATGGCTGATCTTAAGAGGAATGCTAAACTGAAACACAAACCAACCCGTTTCAGAGGTAGAGTATATACTTCACTCTTTTAGCCATCCCACAGATTAAAAAGCCCAAAAGTCTATTCCAAGTGATAATCTATAGAGCTATTCAACAGGCTATTTCCCCACATTTTGTTGCACAGGTAGTTCAAGTATGGAAGCATGACAGCAGGTAGCCACTCACCTTTTTGAGGTACTCATGTCAACAGGTTCATCACCTGTCTGCACCTCCACTTTAATAGTTGCTTTTACCTCCCCTCCTTTTAATAATCCTTGGACTTTCCCAGCTCCAGGATCAGTCTTTATTTTAATGTCACCTTCAGTCTTTATATCTGTTCCCAACAGTCCTTTGTCCATTTTAATTTTTTTACTGTCCACGTCATTTTGGGTTATTTCTCGTTCTAGTGCTCGCTTCTGACTTCGTGTCCTGCATGCTTCCTCTGTCATTGTGAAGCTCTGAGGGGGCGGGGGAGGAAGAAGAGAGAGAAATCAGTAAAATACATTTTGAGAAAAATAAATCAACTGTTAATTTAAAAAAAAAAGGCCAAGATAGGATGGTGCTGCAAAAGAAGAAATCCTGAAAGAGCAATTAAAGTATTGCAGTGCGCTTACTCACCCTATCCTTAGAGTAGATTTTAGTCTGAAGTTACTATAGAGTTACTCAACACTTTTTTTATTTAAAGCAACTATAGTTGTAAAATGTAAACTCTAAAAATATCTTGTAACAGAATGCAGGAGATTGTACAGGAATGCAACTGAAACAAAGTTTGGTTGAAGGGGGAAGATTTTCTTTTTATTTGCCTCACATGCAAATGAGGCAATTTTTTTCTACTTTTTAATCTAGGATTAGAGTTTTGGGGGGATTTTTACCATGAATTTCTTAGTACTTGTATCTGATTGCAAATTTCAGGAATCAGACGTTGTGGGGAAAGGACTACCATGCCCTGAGTGAAGAGAATCTCTTCCATGTTTCCTTACAGTTTGCCACTAGAGATTAAGGCACTGCCATTGTAATATTTAAGTTATACTTTCTTCTCTCTTAATGAATGAGCCAGGCTTTTCCACTCGCTGCACAGGAAGTGCTTAACTCCTGTGGGATCACAGTTAACTCGTTGTATGCCAAAGTCATAGAAACTTTTGCTTTTGGTGAGCTTTGGCATTTCAGTCTGCCATTTCACTGTACCTGCAGACCCACATCTGATTAAAAAAAAGCTGAGTCAGTTTTTGATCCCATGACATCACTGGGCTCCACATGACCCTTCCCAGGATTCAGTCTGAGAGACAAAGCACTTTCTAGAAAACCAGTCTGAACCGGTTCCAGACAACAAGCTGAAGTGTTAACCCTCACAGAGACACGACAGCAAAAGCAGCAGCAGCAATGTGTCTGCAAGACTGCTGCTGGCATTCCAAAACACAAGTCTGGGAGAGCATCACTGCTCTTAAAGGGACAGTGCTTTTAATTTCACATTACAACACAGCAGTGCATCTGTTATTCTGCTCGTCCCATCCCTTCAGGGAAAGCACAGCATTCACTTAAAAAAAATAAAAATAAAAAAAAACAGTTCTTAAAAGTAGTTTAGTTTCTTATAGATTAAATTAAGCACAAGGCCAATAACTAAAAGTCACCAATAGAACTTAAGCTTCCCAAAAACAAAAAAAAAGTCTAGGTGTGTTTGGAAGTGAGGGACAGTGGAGTAGTTCGTTATACCATACAATTTATTTCCTATTCTATTTTACACCTCCTGTTCCCATCAAGTCACGGTCCTGTATCTACAGCATACCAGATTATCAATTCAGACAGCTCTATAGGAAATTTTATGCAAGCAAAAGTAGACTCACAAGAAGTTTCTTTACATAACTTTTGTTTGGAAACTTAACCAAAAATATTCATTTATATTAACGGACATCAGCTAGTTCACAATGAGGCCACATTTAAACTAAAATCTTGAAGAACAATGTGCTTTTAAACAGGAGACAGGTTGGGTGAACGTTGGTGTTCATGAAAGTGAGGGACTAATAGCACTGTCCAGGAAGAAAGCCAGGTGGCTATCAAGATTTTCTACATAGCTTAGCCAATAGACCTCCGTTCTAACATGCAGCAACCCCTGCTATTCCAGTTCTGGGCCTCGCCATACAATTCTTCCAAAGCACCCCAGTTCTTGCCTGCAGCATCCTTACTGCTCCACTCTGAGTAGCCCATGAACAATCTCACAATGATGCCACAAAAAACGGCCCCACACAGACTAAAGCTTGGTCTATGCTTAAATGTTAGGTCAGCACTATGGTCAGTCACAGATGTGAAAAAAAAAACCCCCCCCCCCCCCCCCCACTGACATAGCTATGCTGACCTAATCCCCCAGTGTAGAAGACAGCTTCTGTTGATGGGGCTAATTTTGTTTGGAGAGGTGGTGGTCGGTCCTACACAGACCGAAGGGGTGCGTCTACATCACAGGGTTATGCCGGCATAGCTATGCTGGCAGTTTCCATTGAAATTTGAACCCAGGCCTCAAGACAGAAGGCCACTCTACTAATCCAATGTATTGTCTAGTCTGCTTATACTAGAGTTTTTGTTTTTAATGTAAACATGCTGACTTTCTTGGTCAGTATTTTAAAACAAGTGTACTCATTTTATTGGCTATCTGCATTATAATAAGGAAGGCTTGTGTTTATTTTCAATTTTTTCTTATTCTGTAGTCTAGCAAAGCTGGAAGTGTGGCAGAGCTATGGTGTCACATAATTAAACCCTCTTGCCAGTGAAGCAAGACTGACTCCAAAAGTAATCTGGACCTGATTTTTGGTGAGAGATTGCTTTACATTCCTCCCAGAACTTAAAACACAAAGAAGGTGAATCAGAAGGGAGTGGGAGGCAGGTTTCACGGCTCTGAATGGCAAATCAAGACCCCCCCACCTCACAGAGATTAAGTTAAAAATCTCTAGCAGATCCAGTCATACCACATGCTCCAATAAAGTGCTAAGGCAAAGTGTCTAGTAGTTAGAGCATGGGACAAGGAAGCAGGACTCTTAGGTTTTATACCCAACTCTTATATGGACACATTGCATTACTGTGGGAAAGGCACAACCCTCTCATATGGTCTTCTCATGTCTCTCCAATACTCAGAATACATATGGATGTGGAAGCAATGAACGACAAGGTGGGTGAAGTAATATCTTTTATTGGCCCAACATCTATTGGTGAAAGAGACAAGCTTTCAAGTTTACACAGAACTCAAGAAGAGCTCTGTGTAAGTTTGAAGGCTTGCTCTTTCACCAGCAGACGTTGGTACAAAAAAACAAAACACAACACACCCCAAACTTATGAGTATGATATTCATCCAGCTCAGAGGCATCTTGATACTGAATGCCAAATACTAAAAAGTGTAAAATTGTCATGGTGGCGGAAGAGACAAATGAGACCATTCAGTGGAAACAGCCTCCTCTTGCATATAAACCCCTCTTTTGAAAATGAGGATGCTCTCTCACCCACAGCCCTCTCAGCCACAAGTGTCCAGTGGAGGAAATTGGACACCAAAAGCCCGCTTTGCATAGATACTGAGCGCCTGCAGCTTCCTTTGACCTCAACTGAGTTTTCATTGCTCAGCACCACTGAAGAGTCAGGTCCTAGATTATGCTAAAATATACTCCAAAATGTTCACTATTTCAGTTCTTTCATCTTCTCCAGTTACATGATACGTGGGTAAACCCAAGTGTTTTGAATAGCCTTTGTGATTCCACAATATTTTAAAGGTCACACATGAACCCTCGTTCTGCAAATGCCATACTATATTTTCAAGTTCTGCTTCAAGTTCTATGCATTATTCTCTATGGCACGTAATACTATAAGCAACAAAAGGAAACTCAACTCTCATATCTGCACTTTGTGAACTCCCTTGATGCACCTGCCCCCATACATTTTAGAGCAGAATTCAGAGTCTTGGTTCTCAATTTGTTAACAGCTTTTAGATTAGATCTAGTTATTTCAGAGACCCCCTCATTTCTTCTAACCCTCCAGGATAGATACACTCCAACTATAAGGTGCTGGGGGCAGAGTGTTTTCCATGGTGGACCTCCCCATGCACCATCTCACCAACAGGTCAAATTGAACCCAAACCTGACAGTGTCCACATCAAAATGGGAGATTCACCTTTTCAAGGAAGCTTTTCCCAGTATTTTGTTCTGCATGATATATACCTTTGACCCAGTGGTTCTCAAACTTTTCTACCGGTGACCCCTTTCACATAGCAAGCCTCTGAGTGCGACCCCCCTTATAAATTAAAAACACTTTAAAATATATTTAACACCATTATAAATGCTGGAGGCAAAGCCAAGTTTGGGGTGGAGGCTGACAACTCGTGACCCCTCCCCCCCCCATGTAATAACCTCGCAACCCCCTGAGGGGTCCTGACCCCCAGTTTGAGAACCCCTGCCTTAGACATTCAACCAGGCTCAAATTCCCTTTTTGTTTACTGAACCCACCACTTCAATTTTTTTTCTTGAAAAGAAAATGTCATGTCATGTCATGTCATAGGTAGATTCTCTCACTTCCAGGACTACACTGGCTCTCCTCACATAGGGCTTAAAATCACAGATCCATTTTCTAGCATGGACGGGACTTTAACTGTGGCCACTAACACAGAACTAAGTTTTAACTATTTCAGGGAACAAAAACTGTTATAACCACTTTGAGGAATCCAGTTACAAATGTAGGCCAGAGTTGTATTTAGCTTGGCATGGAAAGGAGGGAAAGGAAATAAATCAGGAAAGTTTCTTAAAGAAACTGAAGAATACAGTTTCCCAGGGGAAGAGGTAGAAACACCATAACTTGAGTAGAGAGTCTGTAAGGAACAATCCTGCAGGAGTTTGAAGGAATTATTGTCTTTTCCACCAAACCACAATAAAAAAGTATCTCACCTGTATGTTTTTGATAAAACAATACACAGTGAAATTGTTTATATGGACATTAGGCTTCAGGTTAGCATGCAGTTGAAATAAATTGGCAATTCACACTTTTCTGAGCTATTGTTCCACTCTGTCTGTAGACTTTTTGGATAACAATGCATCTTTTTACGTTGGGATAGTTATTTCCCCAGCACTAAGGGCTAGAATTAATCTTTTCCTGAAGGGATAGATACATAAAAACTATTGGAATCACCAGAAGTGCCAGATTGTTGGTCCAACTCATTCTGGACTGTAATAAATTTACACCATTCAAATGTATTTTGAAAGATAGAAGGGAAAACTAGGATTACACAGAAGTTCTTCTCACTCTCTCTCACACATATGCACATTACAAATTTGCACACAGCAATCCAACGGCCCTTTCACTGAACTGTCCAAAAAATTTGAGACACAAGGTGGGTGAAGTAATCTTTTATTGGTGAGACAAAAGCTTTAGAGCTTACAAAGAGCTCTTCTTCAGACCTGAAGAAGAGCTCCAAAGCTTCTGTTTCTCACAAACAAATGCTGGTCCAACAACAGATCTTACCTCGCTCACCTTGTCTCGCTAATATCCTGGGGCCAACACAGCTACAGAAACAAAAAATAAAATAGTCTTTTGGATCAGAAATTTATTTATACTAGTAGGTCAAATACCATGCCCATCTATGGCACCAATAGCATTCCCACTGGCAAAGACAGCAACAGAAATGTTTCCTGGAACCTGCCAAAAGTTCTTCCCCAATTCCCTTCCTTCCAAAAAACAAAGGAAAAATACAAGACAAACCTGGTTTGAATCAGCCAGTGTCTTTTCCAACATGGATGTGTATGAGAGACTCCTATCACATACTGCCCAGAACGCCTCCCACTTGCAAAGATGACAAAAAAGGATTGCGAGATCCTGGAACAATTATCTGCTCGCTTTCTTTTGCCACTGTAGGGGAAAGTGATAGAACAGGAAAAAGTAGATGAGTTCCAGTTTAAGACTTGGGAAATTTGTGCTCCCGCCCCCCAAAAGGTGTGCAGTCCAGCCAGGAATAACCAGATTCCCAGTGACAATAGTCTATTTGGAGACCTTTGTATACTAAAGTCCTGAAAGACTTGAGCTAAACAAGCATATATCTGCTTCAGGGAGGTCGGGAAAGAAATCAGAACTTTGCTTTGTTATATTCCAAGACACACTGCAAATGAAAGTAAAAAATTGCCCAGTTAAAAGTGGTCTGATCTGCTTCCATAGTTTGGGAACCTGGCCAGAGCTCACTTCCAAAAGTTCTCTCTCCAGGTGGCAGGCAAAACAAAGCAACCCACACCACCACCTCACACCCCACATAACCCACCGCACCCTGCTAAAATGCCAGTCCACTTTATGGAGGATTTCCAGATTCACACTAGTTGTAAACAAGATCAATCCACACTCTGGCCAAAATCTTTCAAGCTTCTAACAAATATCAGTACGGTCACATCTACGTTACCAACTGTGCAAGCTGCATCAGAATACGGCTGCCAAAATTTGTATATCCCTTGGCTACATGCAGACTTGGCTGCTTGCATAGGTGCTGCATGTACTCACCAGGTGCGCCTGTGTCGGTGTAAAGTACTCTGCACCAAAGGCAGGTATCCTAATGTGTCATGTGCAACCATCTGGCACAATACCTTTCTGGAAATTTTTGCAATGTATTGTGGGACAGAAGTGATTTGTCCAGAGATCTCTGGGAGCTAGGTATCAAATTCCCAGCATGCAACTTTCTGCATCCCATAACACAACTTCCCCCCCCCCCCCTTTTTTTTTTTAATCCCACAAACCCAGGCAGCACTTTTTGGTGTCTGCCATCTCTGACAGACGCATGGAGCCCAGAGCTCTGCACTATTCTCGTGAACACTGCAAATACAGGACACACTATTCTCTGGTATTTGCAGACCTGCAGGAAAAGCCACAATAATGTGGGACATGAAGATTTTGCCAAGGACAGTTTTCTGAGACACAAAGAAAGACAATTCAAGATTGTTGTTAAGGTTCATGGAGCAGCTGCAGATGGTAAAAGGCCACTTCTGGGCCCAAGAAATAAGCACTGACTGGTGGATCACATCGTAATGCAGGTTTGGGACGATGAGTAGTGGCTGCAGAACTTTCAGATGCTAGAGCCATTCATGTGCCGAGCCCATCCCAGCCCTCTAGCGCATGGACACCCAAGAAGAGCTACACTGACAGCGGACAAGCAAGCGGTGATCACACTCTGGAACCCTGCAACATCGGACTGCTGCTGATCAGTCGGAAATCATCTTGGAGTTGGAGAATCCACAGTTGAGGGCCATTATCCAAGCACGTAGGGCCATTAGTTATCTACTGCCATGCAGGACTCAGACTCTGCAACGTGCAGGAAATCTGGATGGATACGCAGCAATGGGGTTCCCAAACAGCAGTGGAGCAAAAGATGGCACACGTATCCCTATTTTGGCACCAGCCCACTTTGCCAAACTACCTCAACAGAAAGGGCTACTTTTCTATGGTTAAGCAAGTATTGGTTGCTCACAAGGGATGTTTCACCAATCTCAATGTGGGCTGGTCAGGAAAGGTACATGACACTCACCTCTTTAAGAGCACAGGACTCTTCAGAAAGCTGCAAGAGGGAACATTCTTTCCCGACCAAGGGGATCACCACTAGCTATACTGAAATACCAACAGTGATTCTGGGGGACCCAGCCTACCCTTTATTCCCCAGCTCACAAAGCTGTACACTAGCCACATCAACAGCCCCAAGGAAAGATTCAGCTATCAGCTTATTCTGCATGTACTAAGTACTGAATGTGCTTTTGGTAGACTGAAGGGATGCTAGCGGTGTTTACTCACTAGATTGGAACTCAGCAAGAAAGATCTCAATGGTTACAGCTGCCTGTTGTGTCCTGCATAACACCTGTGAGGCAGAGGGAGAAAGCTGCCATCTGACTTTCAACAGCCAGAACAAGGGTTATTCTAGAAGCCTGATGTGGAGCTATGTGGCTCAGGGAGGCTTTGAAAGAGCACTTTAGTGGCCAGCTGCAGCAGTGTTGTGCGCTGGAGTGTTCTCTGAGCCTGGAGTTCTGGGTGCTGCTAAGAACTGTGTAGTGTTTGCTGTACGTGCATAAATGACTGGGTACTGGTACAAGTACTGTTGTCTTTGATAATCACTATGAATTCTGCAATATTTGTTGTGAACTAGTAAAGATAAAGATCAAGTTCTATTTTTGGGTAATTAAATTGAGTGGGGGGAAAAAATCCCGAAATTCAATACACAAAAGCCCCTGCAGGTAATGTTATACAATTTTTAACATAATTAAAGGATGTAAACATTTATATCCATTTGAGTACACAAAAAGTAGTTGTATGTGTAGCCACAACGGACAACTGTGTTCTTACAGGTCAGTATGTGAAGCTGTGCCTTTCTTTGCTGTCCCCCAGTGTCGAGTAGTAGGGGGCACTGATGGGTCCCTTGATACCATATGGTATGTTGGGGAGGGAGGGGAAGAGGTCTTAGGACAATGCTCATGGAGTTCTCCAAGGGCTGCATAGGATGGAGAGTTTGGGAGCATTTGGGTTTGCTGACTGAGAAGACCCTTTATGTTCTGGTGCATTTCCCTCTCCTTGCCCTGCTGGGACTCATGGGCCTTTCCTGTCCTCTTGATCTTTCTTCATGCTGTCAGTCATGCCAAGCCCCTAGTTCACAGTCTGATGAAACACTGTTTCACAAGATCCTGCGAGCCAGGTCTTCCCTATTCCTATTCTCTCTCCTCCTCCTGGTCATGCGTTCTGTGAGTGGAGGGGGCACCCACCAAGCCAGAAGCTGCTGATAAAGACAGACGTATCACTGGATTTAGTGTCAGTGGAAAGAGAAAATAAGTTTCTAAACTCCCTTTTCTTGTAAAACACAAGCAATGCTTATTGACACTTCAGCTCTGGAGCACCTCAGCACAGCACCGCTCTCCAGCTCCAGCCATGATAACAGGATCAAGGGATGATGTGGATTTTCTGTTGCAAGACGCTATACGATTTCAGTCCCTACTCCATGGATACGACTATAGGGCAGCGGCACTGAATATTTGCACTATTTTCCACAAGCAGTGATAATTTTAGCTGCTCTCTCATTCCTCAGGATCACAAAGGCACAAAGAACACAGCTGTTACTGTCTCCTGAAGCTGCCCGGGCCTATATGCCACTAGCTTGTTTACTGCAATGGTGCCAGCTGAACTCATCACAGAATGGCATGGCAAAGTATCCTACCATAGAGGAAGAAATAAGGTAGTCTTCTCTAGAAACCTTCAGGAGAAGATTACAGAGTACCCCCATGAAAGTTTCATAGAGATTTCTCAGGAGGATAAGAGGAATGTACCTATGCACATAAACAAAATGTTCTGCGTTGCCCACTCTACTTAACCCAACAGGGAAATGAAAAGCAGGTACCAATTCTACCTCTTTCTTGTATCGCTACCTCTTCTTCTATGACTAAAACAATTAAGAGTTGATACCTTTGGTTTCTTAGCTTGGGGGGATGGGCTGGTGCCATCTTTGAATTTGATCACAAGAAAAATCGTGTACACATACTTGAGTTCCTCCATGTTTGCCTGATGGGACTAGCTACACGGTGGCAGAGCCTCAAACAGGTCCTGGTTTGCAGCATGGCTAGAGTCCTCCACCATGTCTCCCCCCAACTCCCTTTCTTCCTCACTGTTCACAGTAGGGGTCTCCGGGTCAGGCTCCTCCAAAGTATCCACAGTGATCTATGGGGAGCTGGTGCGGGTTTCTGCCAAGTACAGCATGCAGATCCTTGTAGAAGTGGCAGGTCTGCAGTGTAGGGCCAGATCTGTTGTGCTCCCTTGCCTTGCGGAATGCCTGGCAGAGTTCCTGTACTTTTACGTGGCACTGCTGCTGGTCCCTCTCACACCCCTTTGCCTGAATTCCCTGTGCAATCTGCTCCTAGATGGACATGTTTCTACAGCTGGTCCATTGATGTGCTTGCACAGCCTCCTCTCTCTGTGTAAGCCCAGGAGACCCAATACTTCCTGTCTACTCTGGGTAGGAGCGCATCTTGTATGTGGAGCTGGCCTGGTCGGTTCGGCAGTTGCCCACAAGGGTGAGCTACTAGATGTGATTGCCAAGGTGGGCAATCAGGAAAGGTATTACAAAAAAACATGGGGGGAGGGGGGAGTTAAAGGGTGGATGGAGTGGCTTTTGGTCTCTCTGACCCTTGGGCAGTGGAGTTTAAAGTTGTCACAAGAGTGGTCAGTGTCACAGGGAACGGGGCATTGTGGGACAGCTCATGGAGGACTATTAGGGTTGACACAGGTCATGCAGTGTCTATATAGCACTTGCACTGTGTCAACCTCAGTAGGTCAACCATGGCTCTACACCAGAGGTGGGCAAACTACAGCCCATGGGACCATCCTGCCCGGCCCTTGAGCTCCTGGCCGGGGGAGGCTAGCCCCCGGCCCCTCCCCTGCTGTCCCCCCAAGGAGCTGGGAAGGAGGGGTTGGATGGGTCGGAGGTTCTGAGGGTTGCAGTCAGGGGGCGGGGGCCAGGCTGTTTGAGGAGGTACAGACTTCCCTACCCGACCCTCCATACAGTTTCGGAACCCTGATGTGGCCCTCAGGCCCAAAAGTTTGCCCACCCCTGCTCTATACCATTCAGAGAGGTGGTTTTACTGTCTCACTGTAATGGAGTGCTTATGTCAGTCAGTGACAAATTTGAGTGTAGGCATACACAGACATCGGCTGATTGTAAGTCGCCTTGTGTCGACATAACTTGGTGCTGTGACTGTCAAACTTTGCATTGTTGAGAAAACTGTATGTAACACAGGGCCTGTATGAGAAAGTTCAAACTGCACCTTTTCTATGGCAACTTTGTTCTCCATTGCCAAAAATAACTTGTAAATAATCAGCCTAGAACTGATAGAGGGATCTTT